CAGCTTGAGGCTCTGTCTCAAAAAAAAAAAAAAAAAAAATTCAGTTTGGGGGCTTGGCGCCCGTAGCACAGTGGTTACAGTGCCAGCCATATACACCAAGGCTGGCGGGTTCAAACTCAACCTGGGCCAACTAAATAACAATGACAACTGCAACAAAAATATAGCAGAGCCTTGTCGCGGGCACCTGTAGTCCCAGCTACTTGGGAGGCTGAGGCAAAGGAATTATGTAAGCCCAAGAGTTTGAGGTTGCTGTGAGCTGTGATGCCATGGCACTCTATTGAGGGCCATATAGTGAGACTCTTGTCTCAAAAAAAAAAAAAAAAAGAAAAAAATTCAGTTTTGAGGCTCAGTGCCCGTTGCTCAGTGGTTAGGGTACTGGCCACATACACCAAGGCTGGTGGGTTTGAATCTGGCCGGGGCCTGCTAAACAACAATGATAACTGCAACAAAAAAAGTAGCCGGGTGTTGTAGTGGGCACCTATAGTTCCAGCTATTTGGGAGGCTGAGGCAAGAGAATTGCTTAAGCCCAAGTGTTTGAGGTTGCTGTGAGCTGTAATGCCACAACAATCTACTGAGGGCGACATAGACTGTCCCAAAAAAAAAAAAATTCAGTTTTAGGTTTTTTTATTTTTTTTTTATTCTTTTACAAATTGGCACACTGAGACCAGTTTGCAGAGGGAGTACATGTTTGGATGACACAAGATGAAACTAAATATTCATCATTGTGACACACTAGTCTCTTTAGTTTAGTGTTCATTTGAAATTTTCCATAATAAAAAGTTAAGAAATAAATGGGTGGGGGGCAAAGCCCTCACCTCCCCGCTCCTCACTCCTCTGCTTCAGCCACTTCAGCTCCTTCAGTTCCCAGCATGCTCTGCATTGGGGACTTTGCACTGGCTCCCCACCTTACCTTCTTTAGGGCTTAGCTCACTTGTTTACTTGGCATACCCTGCTTTAGTTTTGTTCATAGCGCCTATCACCACTTGATGTATTATATGTTTTTCTTAATTACTCCTTTTGGTGTCTGTCTTTCCACACTAGAATATGAACTCTGAGAGAGGTTTCTTATTCACAGCTAGACTCAGTGATTATTATTTAAATAAACAGATAAAAATCCTTACAGGGTAAATGGGTGAGTAGATGATTGATTGGGGAATGGTGGAGAGGGTAGGGTAGGGATAGGCCAAAGACAGCCATGGGCTGAAGAAGTGTGAAGAAGTCAGAAGAAGGGGTGGCGCCTGTGGCTCAATGAATAGGGCGCCAGCCCCATATACAGAGGGTGGCGAATTCAGACCCAGCCCGGCCAAACTGCAACAAAAAATAGCTGGACGTTGTGGTGGACGCCTGTAGTCCCAGCTACTTGGGAGGCTGAGGCAAGAGAATCGCCTAAGCCCAAGAGCTAGAGGTTGCTGTGAGCTATGATGCCATGGCACTCTACCGAGAGTGACAAAGTGAGACTCTGTCTCTTAAAAAAAAAAAGTCAGAAGAAGCCAGCTTACCCAGGGCTGCTGTCCCATATAATCTCAGGAGGGCCTCTGTGGCCCTCCTGAGCCCCCTCCCTGTCACCCCATCTCCTACAGCTGGCTGAGGCCCTGGACTTGTTTGAGAGGCAGATGCTGAAGGAGGAGCAACTCCAGCCACTGGAGAGCAACTACTCAGTGCTGATTGGGGGCTGTGGGCGTGCCGGCTACCTGAAGAAGGCCTTCAAGCTCTACAATGACGTGAGTGTGGGGCAGAATGTGGCAGGGGCAAGACTTGAGGAGTTCAGGGCAGATTTTAGACATGCCATGTTATGCCAGATGAGTGACTTAACCTCCCTGGCCTCAGAGTAGTCTTAGTAAAATGGAAGTGATCTTAGGTGATAAATGAGATGACGTGTAATACCCTGCAGCACCTGCTGGGACCTCAGCAAGCCTCTTTCCTTTTCCACTGCCGTGCACAGTTTGGTCATGTTCCTTTTCTCTACCTACATGCACATACCTATACCACTCTGGAGCTGGTCCTTTAAAAAGGCCTTTCAGTACTCTTGGAAAATGGTTTTACTGTGTATTCATCTACCTGTTGGGCATGTAGTATTGGTCATTGTTAGCCAAGAAGCCATTTCCTTGGGGAGTCAGGATAGAGCTTTGTCTGAGAGGACCTTAGACTCTAGTAGGAGAGATCTCCTCTCCTCCTGCAGCCAGAAGCTGGGGTCCCTGGGAACTTGAGGCCTTTTGTCATTTGGGATACTCTGCTCCAGGTCCGTGGTCTCTAGATAGAAGCAAGGGGGAGAAATTGCAGAGACAAATGATAAAGTAACATTATTTCCTTTAGTTTTTTTTTTCCTTTTTATGTCCTAAGTTAAATGGAAAACATTATGTTCTTTAAGAGACCAAATAAAACATCATGGCATAGGAAGATTAGAGGCTGCTTTGACCTACCACCTGGGAGAAAAGAGTTCAGGGCTAAGCAAGGGGCAGGTGGAGTGGAAGTGTCAGGCCAGCACCCCTTCCTTTGGTTTGGGGGATCTATATGAGTGACCCTGCTCATTATCTTCTCAGAGAAGCCCAGGCCACTCTCTTTCCTTAACCTCTGTTGGTCTCTGCCATTTTGTTGCCTTTTCAAGTTTTGGTTTAGTTACTTTAAAACTTTTTACTTTTGAATAACTTTAGGTGTATAGAAAAGTTGCAAAGATAGCATAGAAATATCCCTCACCCAGTTTCTACCAGGGTAACATCTAACATTTGGACCTATCACCAGTGATATTAACCTTGGTCACTAGGGGAAAATGGAGTTTGCTGGGTCTTCCCACTGTGAAGTTGCTTTTTCCCTTGCCATCCTCTCTTTTCTAGGTATCTTTCATAGCACTTAGTACTGTTTGGATTTCTCATTTGCACTTTGTCTCCCTTCTAGAGTGTAAGCTCAGTGAGGACAGGCTGTATCTACTATGCTAATGCAGTGCTGGGCATGTAGCAAGTTCTCAAAACACATCTATTGAGTATGGGAACACAGAGCTTACTTCTTCCTCATGGTAGGAATTGCCACCTTCACTTTTCAAATAAACGTGAGGCTCAGTGAGATGAAGGGACATGTCCAGGCTACCCTACTTGAAAGTGCTAGGGGCTCAGTGCCTGTGGCTGAAGTGGCTAAGGCGCCAGCCACATACACCTAAGGTGGCGGGTTCGAATCCAGCCTGGGCCTGCCAAAAAAACAATGACAGCTGCAACCAAAAAGTAGCCTGGTGCTGTGGTGGGTGCCTGTGGTCCCAGCTGCTTGGGAGGTGGAGGCAGGAGACTCACTAGAGCCCAGGAGTTGGAGGTTGCTGTGAGCTGTGATGCCACGGCACTCTACCCAGGGGGATAGCTTGAGGCTTTGTCTCAAAAAAAAAGAAAGTACTAGGGCTAGGATTTGAACCATAGATAGGCAAACTCTAGCAGCCTCTTTTATACCCTTAGCAGCTTGTCACGATCCTTGGTGTTTGGCTTTACAGAAAGTTCTCAACCTTGAAAACCTGCCTTAGTTCTGTGGAGGCTTGACAAACAGTGTTGGCCCATTGCAAGAGCATGTAACTCAGCAGGTCAGGCCGCCCAGAGAATGTACATTGTTTCCCCTGCTGCTGCTGTCTGGGGGCTGCTCTTTAGAAGCCCAGCATATGCCCTCCTATTTAGCCCTTGCCACACCCTTTCAGGGTATTGATGCCATCCCTATTTTCCTGATGAGATAACTCACCCACGACCCCACAGTTAGTAAGCATACACCACTCTCTTCCCCCCTTTATAGTCACAGTGACATGGGCAGGTCTGAGTTGGGGACATCAGGAGGACCCTGCTGCAAGTACTGCAGGCCTAGAGTGGGCTGACAGGTGCCCAGGGAGAATGGTTTTTTATTTGGTCCTTCTTGGGGTATGGGCTCAGTCCTCAGCGTCTCTCTGATGGATGAGGGATTTGGAGAGCCAGGGTCTGATGTGTCACTTGTCCCTGCTATACCCAGCCTGCTGAATGCAGTGATGGAGTCCTTTCTAGCTTCTTCTAGGATGGCTGCTCACTCATATGTCCAGATGACCCAGGGCCACTTGAGTTTCTCACATCTCAACAGATGAAAAAACGGGACCTGGAGCCTTCAGACGCCACGTACACAGCCCTGTTCAATGTCTGTGCTGAGTCCCCCTGGAAGGATTCTGCTTTGCAGAGTGCCCTGAAGCTACGGCAGCAGCTCCAGGCCAGAAACTTCCAGTTCAACTTGAAAACCTACCACGCCCTGCTGAAGATGGCAGCCAAGTGTGCGGACCTCAGGATGTGCCTTGATGTGTTCAAGGTGGGGATGCCCCTTCCTTCTTGCCACCGCTGTGGAGACTGGTCCCCCATGGCATATGTGAGACTATAGATCTACCTCCCCCAGTGCAGTAAAGTTCAAGGAAGATGAGGAGGCAGCCCTGTGCTGGGTCCTGGATTTGTAGATGAATCCCACACCCTGCCCTCAAAGGCTTCAGGCTGAAAGACAGCTAGACAGAAGGTTGTATACACTCCTGTGTGCTGTGTCCCTCTGTATGGGCTTAGTGGGGCATCAAGGAGAGAGAGCTTCATGTAGGAGGCATCCTCAACCTTGAGTGTTAAGGATAAGTTGGAGCTTATAGATAGGGCCCTACATTCAGAGAGCTGTAGATCCTGGCTAATCACTGTGTAGGTTCTCAGTGGGATCTCCTTCCTTCCCCTAGGAAATCATCCACAAAGGGCACACTGTCACCGAGGAGACCTTCAATTTCCTGCTCATGGGCTGCATCCAAGACAAAAAGACAGGTTTCCGATATGCCTTGCAGGTCCGCCCCTCCCACCCTGCCTTCCTGCCCTGCCTTTCTGCCCTGCTTCCCTTGTACCTATGCCAGGGGTGCAAAATACTGATCCTGTGAGCACGCATAATTGCCCTGTGCTGGGTGGTATTATATTTTCACTCTTGGCCTTCACAGCAGCCACTGCAGCCTCTATTTTACACACAGCTGGGAGAAGAGGCCATTTGTGGTTCAGTGAGGGGGACCCTCTGCCTCTTCCACTCTGCTGGACAGCCTACGCCCAGACCCTCTAAATTCATGAAACCCTGACGTTCACTCTCTTGGAAACCCATTCATCCCCTCCCATGATAGCCCCCCCAGCCCAGTATCTCTGCAGGTACATCCCAAGTGTCTGCATTTAATCCCGGGAGATTCTGTTGGGTGTCAAAGTAGAACACACTGCTCTGATCTCACCCCAGCCCCTAGAGACAGCCCTCCTTATCAGGTGGGTGTTAGTGTTATAATTGGCACTACATCTGCTTTCATGGCTTTTTAGAGTTGGAAAGATGCAGAGCTTAGCTCAAACCCACCCACCTCTGCTGCAGGCTCTTCTGAGGTGAGAGTATTAAGCTGACATTTGTCTTTCCCAGAGCAGGTCTGGAGGCAGATGCTGAGTCTGGGGCTTAAGCCCAACCAGCACAGCTATAACCAGATGTTGATGGCAGCTCGAGACTGTGGCCTGGGACATCCAGAGGTGGCCTCAGAGCTCTTCCTGAGGCCTAGGAAGGAGATAGCCCTGCTTCAGCCTCTAGCAAGCAGGCAGCAAGGAAGGAGGAGAGCTGAAGTAGGGGCAGGTGGTGGCATGTTGGCTAGGCTGCATGTGGAGGTCCTGGAGAGGGAGCTGTTTCTGGAACCTTCTCAGGCACTCAAGGAGCCTCCAGAGCCTCAGAAGGCCAAGGTATTCAGCAAGGCGCAGCTGGAGGTGGAAACTGAGACAGAGCCTGACTACACAGTGGCCCTCCCCCCAGTAGCTCTGAAGCCACCTCCCTTAGAACTGAAGGCTAACCTCCTGACCCCTGAGGCCATCCCCCCAGCTGTGGTCTCCTTTGGGATGGTGGCCACCCCAGCTGACAAGCTGGCCTTGATGGGGGGCCTGGAGGGCTTCCTGGGCAAGATGACAGAGCACGGGCTCCAGCCTGACATCAGTACCTTCACGCTGCTGGCTGAGGTAGTGGAGCCAGGGAGCCCCACAGAGTCCTCACTGATCACCCTCCTGGACACTCATCAAGTGGAGGCTGATGTGACATTCTTCAACACACTGATACGGAAGAAGAGCAAGCTGGGAGATCTGCAAGGGGCCAAGGTGAGGGGCTTTTGGCTGGGACCCCCCACCCCATTTCAGACTGTAGGGCCAGTCTTACCTGCCTCTCCGTTTTTCCCCTGGGGTTAGTGATATCATCTGCAGCCTGTGCTGGGTCTGCGCCTGAGTGAGGTGCCAGGAATTGAAAAGAATATCAGCCAGATGCCCTCCCTACTCTCCTCATGAAGCCCCTAAATTGGGGAAGAGGGCAGCTCCCAAACACATGATGCTGATGAGGGGGCATAAGACATGCAAGTATTATAGGAACATGTGTCTGAGGTGTCACTTGCTGAGGACTAGCCTCTGACTCCCCAGACATGCCCCGAGAATCCTCATCCTTTATACCACTGGGCTCTTGGCACTTCCTTTGTGCCAGACACTCTCCTGAGAGCTTTATGTGCGTGAATTTGTTTACTGGTCAGACTGGAGGTCCTGTTGTAGATGTAGATTTGGGGGACATCAAAGCCCTCTCAGGACTTGGTTCGTATGACAAGTGTTTTTTTTTTTTTTTATTGTTGGTGATTCATTGAGGGTACAAGAAACCGGGTTACACTGATTGCATTTGTTAGGTAACATACAACAAGTCTTAATGAGATGGCTTTTTTGACTTGGTAGGGTCAAAAGGGGGCCCACAGTGCAGAGCACAACTCTGGACAAGCTAAATAAGCCCTTCCCTGGAGACCCTGACCCAGCCTGACTGAGTAGGAAACCATCTCCCTTACCCTAGCCTGGGGCTCCCTAGGCCAGCATTTCCCATTCTGTGGTGGGTATTGCCCTTGTTCTAGAGCAGTGATTTTCAACCAGTGTGCCATGAGAAGATCTTAGGTGTGCTGCAAAGAATTTTAAAGACCATTAATTAAATGATTTTCAAAAGAATTCAAAGCACAGTATTTGCTTTTTTTTTTTACTTGATCAACATAATTTAAGTGTGCCATGGAAGTTTAATTATAGGTTCAAGTGTGCTGTGAGATAAAAAAGATTGAAAAACACTGCTCTAGAGCCTGAAGGACGAAGCGCAGAGGTGGCTGACAGGAGCACATGGCAGCCAGTAGCAAGTGGGGATATGGAAGATGTTCCTGGGGGAGGGACAGTTTGTTGGAGGTGGCACGTTGGAGGTTAGGGTGCATGTGCAGAGCAGCTGGACTCCAGGAAGCTGGGTCCAGCCAAGGATTTCACCAGGTTCTTGCCAGCCTGGTGGGTTATAGGTTACAATGACACTGTGTCTGTCCTCACAGGCACTGTTGCCCATCCTGGCTAAGAGGGGAATTGCTCCCAACCTGCAGACATTCTGCAACCTGGCTATTGGGTGCTGCAAGGCAGGGGATGGGCTCCAGCTTCTCGTCGACATGAAGGTGAGTGGGCCCAGGCCTGGACAAGATGGCTGTGATGCCAAGGAACACTCTGGGGGCGCTCAGGAAGAAAGTTAGGGGTAAGTGGGGGCAGGGAGAGTGGGACAGATCAGCTTCTGGCGTAGACTGGTCATTAGTCCCATGTGGGAGAAAGTAGACCCTGATGAGTGCTGCAAGAGTGGGTATGGGGTGCAGTTATGTGTACCTCAGCCGGGAAGGACGTGTTGAGGTTGGCAATCCATCAAGGGTAGTAACTACCATGGCTTCCAGTGCTTTGGCCAAACCTCAGATGTGTGGCCTCTTGGCTAGGCTCCTGCGGATTCATATTGTTGGAGCATTTGTTGTATCCCTGGGGGTTGCAGTTTTCTATAAGTTTGCTGTGGCTGAACCAAGAAAGAAGGCATATGCAGATTTCTACAGAAATTATGATTCTATGGAAGATTTTGAGGAGATGAGGAAGGCTGGTGTCTTTCAGAGCATAAAATAATTTGGAAATATAAAGAATTTCTTTGGGCTGATTTACATAGACATTTGTCACTGACCTGTGTTCCTGAGCTATGAATATGAGTGATAAATAAACTATTAATAAATAAAAAAAAAAAGTGGGTGTGGGTGTGGATGTTTTCATCTTGAAGAAAGTCCCCAGTGCTCATGAGGGATGGAGAGTATGACCAGAACAGGCATAATCGGAGGTCCTGGGGGCAATTGTCAAAGCCCCTGGAAAATCTGATACACACCCATTCAGCTCCCGTGGAGACCTTAACAAGAGGACTTTATTTGCCACAGCAGAGGGTACTTCCTGGGGATCAGGTCGGGGTATGCCCCACTCTCACCATTCTCTTGCTGTTTTCCCTGGACACTGGCTGCTTTTCTAGTCTGACCACCTTCTGGTGAGCACGTGTCACCAATCAACTCACAGCCAAGAGCAGGGAGGTGGTGTCCTCTGCATCATTATTTGCCTGAATTGGTTAGTTTCTGAGAGCAGCATGGGCTTCCTTTGAGACTAAAAGGAGAGTTGGCATTTGCTTTTCTTTGGGGGCGGGGAGGGGGGTATGGCCCATTGTTGCTACCAGGTTCTGCCATTCCTGTCCCTGGTCACTGGTCTTGTGAGCAGGCCTGATGGGCAGGTAACTCTTCAGGTGGGACATGACACAATAGGCTGCTTTGTCCCAACCTCTGTCATCATCCTGCTGATTATATAATGTTCATGATGTTTCAGAAATCCCAGGTGATGCCTAATATCCATGTCTACAGTGCACTCATCAACGCAGCTGTCAAGAAGCTGGACTATGCCTACCTCATTGGCATCCTGAAGGACATGAGGCGGAGCAGAGTCCCAGTGAATGAGGTGGTCATCCGCCAGCTGGAGTTTGCAGCCAAGTACCCTCCCACCTTTGACAGGGTGAGCACCCGAGCTCTGAAAGGCTCACAAGCCTCTTACCAGTGCTACCCCACCCTACCCCAGTTCTGCCTATGAGGTTACATTCTCTTCCCTAAAACTGGCCAATTTCAAAGCTCTTGGACCATAGCCTGTGAGCTCCTATCTGTGTAATTCATTTCATCTATAAGGCCAGTCTTGCCTTTATTGACTCTGTCCCACTGGCCTCCCACTTCCATGAGGTCACCAGCCTTCTTCCTACCTCAGGGTACTTGTGTTCCCTCTGCCCCCGCAGGCTTCTGCATAAAGGGCTTTCTCATGTGCCCAGCTGGCTGCCTCCCTTCGCACTGCACAGCCTGTTCCTTCACACGGGTCTTAAGAGTCTGTGACTGTGTGACCCACATGCCACCTGTATCTGCATATCGACTGTTGTTTCTTCAGTTCAGTGAGTGGGCAGCAGCAGGGCAGTGATGGAATTTGCTTGGTCCTGGCCAAATATCCTATTCAAGCTCTGGGAGTTAGTCTATTGAGCCAGACCCTGTGCTGAGCATCTCCAGAGTACCTAGAGCAACTGTGGCCTGGAGTGCAGCCCAGATGGGGAGGGAGACAAGTGGATTGGCAAGGACACAAAAGCCAGGAGGTGGGGGGGGGGATAGTCAGGGCTGCTGCACAGGTGTGACACTTGAGTTCCAATTGAAGGCTTTGCAGAAGAGAGGGGAAAGCAGTAGAGTGTGCCCACTGGAGGGCATAGCTGGACATCTCTGAAATGTCATCTCATTGATTGCTCAGTTCCCTATTCTGGTAGTCTTTTTGTTGATTCCATGTTGCACATTATCTTCTCGTTAGTGGATTTTCTTCACTTTTTGATGTAGGGCCCAGGAGGGGTCTTCCTAGGTTCTACTCAAAAGTTACTAGACAGTGGGTATGGTAGCTCATGCCTATAATCCTGGTGTTCTGGGAGGCCAAGTAGGTGGATCACTTGAGCTCAGGAGTCTGAGGCCAGCCTGAGCAAAGCAAGACCCTGTTCTGACTAAAAATAGTTTAAGTAGCTATAATTCCAGCTACTTGGGAAGCTGAGTCTGGAGGACTACTCGAACCCAGGAGTGTGAGGTTGCTGTGAGCTAGGGTTAGGGCCATGGTACTCTAGCCCAAGTTACAGAGCAAGACTCAGTCTCAAAAAACAAAGTTACAAGATTATCCTAGGCCTGAAGCTTTTGTGTTCAAGTCATATACAGACATTCCTGACTTCCAAACGTATTTTGACTTCATAGGATATTTTGACTTTATGATGGGCTTAGCAGGATATAACCCCATTGTTGAGGAGCTCCTTCCAAGGACTTTTTTTTTTTTGAGACAGTGTCACTATGTTGCCCTTGGTAGAGTGCCATGGCATCACAGCTCATAGCAACTTTTGGGCTTACGTGATTCTCTTGCCTCAGGCTTCCAGTAGCTGGAACTACAGGCGTCCGCCACAACACCCAGATTTTTTTGTTGTTGCAGTTGTCATTGTTTAGTTGGCCTGGGCTGGGTTTGAACTGGCCAGTCTGTGTACATGACTGGCACTGTAACCACTGTGCTACAAGCGCCGAGCCTCCTTCCAAGAACTTGTGATGGGATTATGGAATGCCTATCACTTTCACACCATCATATAGTTCAACCATTGTAAAGTCAGGGACTATCTGCAGTGTTGCCAGCATTAAATGCATTTTGACTTGTGAGAGGAGTTTCTCAGGATATATCCCTGTTCCTATTGTTGAGGAGCATCTGTACTACTCAAGTTCCTTAGGTATTGATTTTTTATATCTCTATTTGTGATTCTTTCTTTAATCTCTTCCCAGGAGAATCTATTTGTTGTTTTGTCAAGTTTTGCTTTATGTGCCTTCAGGCTGTATTAGGTACATTCAAGTTTAGAATTGTTAAATCTTTGGAATCAAATTTATCTTCCTGTGGCAAGAGGCCAATACTATTTGGGCTGTTTTTTGTATGTATTCTCCTACCAGCTTTCTGTTTCTGCCTGGTGTACCTTCTTTCTTCTTTTCTTTCCCCCTCTTTATGGAGACCGCTGTTGTGGTGCTGAGATGATGGGTCAGAGGGAAGTGGTGGCAGCGCTGAGGGGAAAGGCTCAACAGACTGGAGGCAGAGTTGGTAGGACTGATTCCTACTTGGGGGACTGGCGTGACACCCATGGATAGAGGAGCATGGCAGCACATTTAGGAAGAAAGATGACTGTTGGCACATGGGGATCTGGGTCTGTCCCATGGCATGGCAACTTGGCTGGAACATGCTTCTCTGTAGTAAGCTACTTCCATACTGCACATCAGCAGCTTTTCTGCCCTGTCCCCTGCAGCTGCTTGCCAGGGAGAACAAGCACAGGGACTAGTTTCCCTGAGGCCTAAGTCACCTGCTATTGTTGGGATTAACTGTAGGTAACAGGAAGTGACTTCCATCATCAGAGGGCTGCTCTGTACCCTGAACCTCATGCTTTTCCAATTACAGTACAAAGGGAAGAACACCTACCTGGAGAAGATTGATGGCTTCCGAGCCTATTACAAACAGTGGCTGAAAGTGATGCCAGCAGAGGAAACCCCCCACCCCTGGCAGAAGTTCCAGACCAAGCCCAAGAGGGACCAAGATACTGCTGGGGAGGCTGATGTAGACAAGAGGCCTTGAGGGTAGGTGATGGGAAGCACAGTTGGAACAAAGTATCCAGCCCTAACAGTTCTTTGTGGGACCCTCAAGAGTCCCTTCCATATTAAGGACAGGTCCAAGAGCAGCTTGACTTGCCTTCACATGTTAGGTCATCCCCACTTGACAGGCAAGCACACTTGTCTGAGGTCACAGAGCACCTACAAGGGGATGCTAGGATGCAGCCTCTGGTGAATCTGGGCTCTAGGGTACTCTCTCACTGGGGGTCCCACAATTGCTGCTCTGAAAGAATGAACACTGGCCCAAGAAGTTAAAATGTTTTATTTTTACAATCACAGCTGATAGGACAGCAAAGCCTTCACCTGAAGAGGCTGTGCTCCAACTTGGGCCTGGGGCACCACTCTGCAAGAAGAGCTTCTCCCAGGAAAGGGGGTGATGCAACTCCCTTTGGGTGATGCAAAGTCCAAAGTCCTAGGTGGAGATGGGTTGGGGGCTTCAGCCAGAGCAGCCCCGGCAACCACAGTGTGTGCACTCAATAATGCGGCCCTGAAACAGAGGACAAACAAGTGAGGTGTTACATCTACCTCCCAGCCCTGCAACTCACACACACAAGAACCCTGCTGCTAAAGGTGCCAATAGGACATCCCCTAAGGGACACATCTCAGAAACTCTTGGATAGTTGTGGACAAGGAAAATTTGTTTCTTTTATGAAGACATGAATAGCTACTGTTGACACTAAAGTTCATCTATGTGTGCATTTAATTCATGTAGATTCAACATGTACGTGTGCCATTTAAGAAAAAAAAACCTGTGTGAATGAATCTTACTATTCTAAAAGAACATAACAGCTGCTTGGTGGGCTGAGTGCCAGGGGCCTTAGAGCCTCCTCTGGGCTGGGAAACTTTTTGGTGGAGGTACAGGGACAGAAGGATCTGTAGTTGAGTCAGTGCCCCTGTCAGGATAGTCAGCTGCAGAACAGTCTTGTTCCCTAGGCCCAGGGTGGCCCAACACTTGCCTGAGGGCCTGCACAGCAGGTAAATACGAACCACTGCTCTGGTGTTTTCTACCTTTTAGAATTTGCTTTCTTAGACTCTTTGCAAGACTTGAGTCTAAGCAAACAAGATCCTCTGATGGAGCCCAGCTAAGTCTAAAGCAGGCTGTATTTTGGCCACAGGGCTGAAACAACATCCCATTCCCCTAACCCATGGAATTCTGGGGTTAATTCAGAAACCAGCACCCAGAGTTTTCTCCTGGAGAGGCAGCCCTCACTCACGCTCCATAGCTCAGCACACCATCCTTGAGTCACCAAAGAATTGAAACCCTCAGTGCTGAGCCAAAGCTTTTTAAATTATAGCTCCTTCCATAGCATAAACAGACCAGTGAGGGAAAGGCCAAGCTGAAAGATAGGTGATCTGGCCTAACAACTGTCTGTGAGGGGGCTGCACAGAATAGCCACTATGTACTACATTCTTTGCCTCGGTCTATAGCTCCCTTTCAGAGATGCTTATGCTTTACGCTCAGCTACTGCCCTCTCAGTCCCACTCGAGGTGCCCAGCCTACTTATGAAACAGAAACTTCTTTTTTTTTTTTTTTGAGACAGAGCCTCAAGCTATCCCCCTGTGTAGAGTGCCATGGCATTACAGCTCACAGCAACCTCCAACTCCTGGGCTCAAGCGAGTCTCCTGCCTCCATCTCCCAAGTAGCTGGGACCACAGGCGCCCGCCACAATGCCCGGCTATTTTTTGGTTGCAGCCGTCATTGTTGTTTTGGCGGGTCCGGGCTGGGGATTCGAACCCGCCACCTTAGGTGTACGTGGCTGGCGCCTTAGCCGGTTGAGCTATAGGCGCCGAGCCGAAACAGAAACTTCTGACAGAAGAAATGCAGTGATGGTCATATTAAAGTGTCACTGTGAGGACTGGAGGGAAAGGAACAGGAACTCCTACTGACTGGCTACCCTTCCCTGATCTAGCCCTCTCACACCTTGGGGTGTGAGGAAAGGAGTTCAATAATGTGCCCAAAGATGGAATTGAGATTACCGCCCCCCCCCATCCTCAATCTAACAAACATGATCACTGCCACACTCTGCCCAGCAGGGATTTCTGAACAAAGGAACTCACTCCCAAGAGGGATGGCCATCAGAATGACCACTACATTCCAGCCCAACCCAATAATATGAAATCTTCTGGATTTGACTAGGGCAGAAGTTTTTACTGAAAATAACATCAAACTTGAATGTCAGACATACCACTTCCAGCTTGCTTTTGGGAACCCGGCAAATGCAGTTTGTTCCAAAATTAGTGTCCCGTGTCTGAATACACCGCAGGCAGCACAAGTTCTCATAGCCTTGCTTTTTCCATTTTGCAATCAGGTTTTTGTCTGCATAGCCTTCTTTAATACAATATTCATATAGTTCTATGACAAAGATGGGAAAAGGGCATCAGACCATGCTGTGACAAATCTTCCTACCCTTAGCCTATCAGCACCTTTGATTAAAAAGAACATTTAGCCAATGTTGGCTCCTCCCATTTTTAGTGGTAAGAAAAAGCATGACTTGATTCTTGCTGAAGTTGCAAGGATAAGGTTCTTTACTTAAATCAGAAAGCTACTCAAGTTTAACATGTCAAGAGAGACTGGCCAATTACCTCTGCTTATGGCTTTCCGCTTGTAAAAGAGGTCAAAGATATAGCGGGTTTTCTGGTGGTGGATCCTGAAGATAGGCCACAGAGATTCCACTTTCCTCTTTCCTTCATGAGGCTCTGTTTCAGCTAAAGTGAAAAAAAGTGTGTTTCTTTTGGGAATAGGGTTAGTCTACACAATATAGTGTCATTAAAAAAAAAAATAACTAGGGATAACAAATACCACTTCCCACTCAGATGGCTAGTCAAAGTGATGGGATAACAACAAGTGTTGGTGAGGATGTGGAGAAACTGGAACTCTCAATACACTGCTGGTGGGAACATAAAATGGTACAGCGGCTGCAGAGTATTTGGCAGTTCCTCAAGTTATACCTGGAGTTATAACACGATCTAGCAACAATTCCACTCGTAGGAACATACCAAAAACCCATGTGCACAAACATGTATGTGAGGGTTCCTAGAAGCCAAAAAGCACAAACACTCCAAATATTCATCAATGTATGAGTAGATGAATGAAATGTGGCCTATCCATACAATGGAATATTAAATAGCCCCAAAAAAGAAAGAAATCCTGTTACATGTTAAAATACAAATAAATCTTAAAATGTTAAAACTTGACCATAGTGGCTTAGTGCCTGTGCCTCAAGCACCTAAGGCACCAGCCACATATACTTAAGGTGGCGGGTTCGAATCCAGCCCGGGCCCACCAAACAACGACGGCTGCAACCAAAAAATAGCTGGGCGTTGTAGCAGGCGCCTATAGTCCCAGCTACTTGAGAGGCTGAGGCAGGAGACTCACTTGAGCCCAGGAGGTGGAGACTGCTGTGAGCTATGATGCTATGGCACTCTACCCAGGGGGGCCAGTCTCAAAAACAAACTTGACCATGGTGATAGTGGCACACTTTTTGAATATACCAAAAACTCCTTAGTGACTTTTATAATATATATCTCCATAAAACAGTTATTTAAGAAAAAAAAAGTTATTTGAACATTATTGTTTTTTTTTTTTTTTTGAGACAGAGCCTCAAGCTGTCCCCCTGGGGTAGAGTGCTGTGGCATCACAGCTCACAGCAACCTCCAAC